GCCTGGCAGCTCTCCAGCCACTCCTCCCCAAGCCTGTAGCACTGCTGGGGGGGTGTTGTGGCCGAAGTGGAGGACCCAGCATTTGGCCTTATTGAAGCTCATGTGATTGGCCTCTGTCCAGCGATCCAGCCTATCTTAATCCTTCTGTAAAGACTCTCTACCCTCAGGCAGATTGACACTTCCACCCAGCTTGATGTCATCTGCAAACTTACTAAGGGTGCACTCTATCCCCTCGTCCAAATCATTGATGAAAATATCAAACAGGACTGGGCCCAGTACTGAGCCCTGGGGGACACTACTTGTGACCGTGCAACAACTGGATTTGACCACAACTCTTTGGACTTGGCCATCTAATCAATTTTTTACCCAGCAAAGTGTAGGCCCATCCAAAGCAAGAGCAGTCAGTTTCTCTAGGAGAATGCTGTGGGCAAAAGTGTCAAATTCCTTACTAAAGTCAAGGTAGACAACATCCACAGCCTTTCCTTCATCCTACAAGCAGGTGACCCAGTCACAGAAGGAGATCAGGTTTGTTAAAGCAGGACCTGCCCTTCATAAACCCATGTGACTGGGTCTGATCACCTGCTTGTCCTGCATGTGCTGCATAATGGAACTCAGGATGACCTGTTCCATCAGCTTCCTTGGCACTGAAGTCAAAGTGGCAGGGCTGTAACTTCCCAGATCATCCTTCTTACAGATACGTGTTTTGTTGGCTGACTTGACTGCTGATAAATGATGGACAGTGTCTTTGTGAGCACCCTTGCCAGTTCTCTCAGCACTCTACGACGAATGCCATCCAGCCACATAGATTTGTGCACAAATCGATGGAGCATTTGCTCCATCTATATTGTTTCATTCTGCATGTCTTTTTTTTTTAAATTTTAGATTTCAGTTAATATAGCTGAGATTTTTGCTAAAGTACTTCAGAAACTAATGTAGATCTATCAATTAAACCGAATTTACTCAGCAAGCATGGCGTGCCATCAGCCCTGTGTCATGTGCTGTGGGTGAGACCGTGCAGCAACACAACCTCTCCATCACAGAGAGCTGCCCTCTCCTGTCTGCCTCTCCTCGACTCGGAGGCCAGAGGTGAGGAGAGAGCACTGGGACACAGGACTGGTGACAGCACTCGTTCACTGATCCAGCATTAATTCCATGGCCCAAACTGGCTACAGCAGCTGGAGATCACAAAAGCCCTAACACTGAGCTTGAACTTGCTCCTGCAGAAGTCTCTAGTAGTCTGGTAGTAGATGAAGATACCTAGTAGCATCGGTAGCATCAGGCCAGGCGGTTGGAGACCAGCAGACTCACCACCAAGTGTCAGTGTCCAATTTCTTTGGCATCAAGGGAAAGGACTAAAAGAGCATAAACACAGAAGTGTTTGTAATTCCCACAGACTCTTTTTCAGGTGTGCCTGCACAGCTCTTAAGACTTAGTTGCAATACTCAGGACACACAGGAGTGATACTGCAGCAGCACAGCCATGAACTGCCTTGTCTGCTCAGTGTCCCAGAGATGTTTGAGGACTATGGGCTTGTAACTGCCACCCTGGAGACCTCAGGCAGACATCCAAAGCTGTTTTAACTGTCAATAATTTAAACTAATTTTCCCAAAGTCAAGTCTGTTTTCCCTGTGATGGAAATTGGTAAGTGATCTCCCCGTATCTCTCTCGACCCACGAGCTTTTTCATCTGATTTTCTCCCCCTGTCCTGACTGTGACCAAGGTCAACCCACCACATACACCAAGGAAACAAGACCCCAGCAATGCTTTCTGTGGTGCTTTAGCCAAAAAAGTAACATCAAACTGCCACTGACCCGCTCTTCTCTCATTTGCCTCTTGTATGCCTTCAAGGATATTTTATGTTTATGTGTGATGGAGTCAAACACCACTATAAGGTGCCTAATTCTGGTTTCTTCAGTGAATGCTCTAAATGCAGGGCTCCTGATAAAATGAGGTGG